TGCCTCTCTCCCTGCTCATGCTCTCTCCCTCTCTCTCTCTCTCTCTGTATCTCTGTGTCTCAAATGAACAACAACAAAAAAATCTAAAAAAAAAAAAAAAAGCATAGAAAGCAAAGGAAGTCTGACAAAATGAAGCCTGAGAACAGCAAAATGTCTGTGGTCGAGGTCAGTCGCGTTTACCTGTTTAAGTAGCCATCTGTAACACCATTGATGTTTTCCAGTTTCTGGAACAGTCCAAATACCTCATTCTGTAAATAGCAGTATTTTTCTGAACCTCTGAAGTTAGCTAGCATATCTTTCAGCTGGTTGAGAACTTCAGCAATTGCTTGAGAATCGTTCTGCACACTCTGTTCAAAAAAAGAAGGAAAGTGCTAGATTTAGCTGTCTGATTCTTATCATCATTTTTTGTCCCGAACAAGTCCACTAAATGGAAAAGACTCAAGAGACAGAGTTGACATTTCCTTTCCTTCTTCGGGGAGGCCTTTTCGGCACTGTGTAAACATGGCCCTCTTTCTTAGGGTATCTATCTTGCATTTCCTAATGTGGTGCCCAGGTGTGGCTGAGCAGAAAAGATCCCGGAGCGGGGAGTTAAAACACTGGGGCTACGGTCTCAGCTCTGTCCATGGCTTTGAGCTTTTACCAGCCCCCCTCCCCTGCCCCATCAAATCTCTCCGTGTCAGTCTCCTGTCTATAAATAAAAGTAATTCCACCTGTTTAGCCCGTATCATAGGTGGTTTCAGGCAGCAACCAAATTAATGTTTATGAAAACTTTAAAAATGAACGAAGTACGACATAGCCTGATTCAGCAACCCATAAACCAACACAAAGATGGCTTAATCCCCAGCCTGGCAACCTTCTACAAATTTGGAGGCATGGCAAAGAAAAAAGGAAATCCTGCCAGAAGCCTGTTTTCTTGAAAATTAGTGCTTCTTCTCTATAAATATTTAAACCAGTAGTTTTTTTAATTAGTTTGCAGATAAATTCAAATATAGCTGGAATCAAGCAAAACAGTACTGGATGCCTACCTTGAGCTCATTTATTTTCACTGTGATGTGGTGCGTAGACCCTTGGTCTGCTAGAAGGATGTTTTTAAGGGCCATTCTGCCCTCACAGTGCTCCATCTGCCTGCGAACCTTCTGGAGCTCCATCAGCATCCATGTTTCCTGCTTGTCGTTTTCTCTGTTGGTTTCAATCACTTTATTATGGTTGAGATCTTGGCAGGAGCTATGATGAGTGATTTCAGTTGTGGTTACTGTAAAAACATGTTAGGACAGCAAAAATCAGAGAATTCCTAGCTAGAAGGGTGCTCGGCCTCAAAAAATACCCATACTGCACAAACTGTAGCTCCCTCCTTTGATTTGATCCTGAAAATTTAATGTATAGATGACTTTTGATATGTTATTTCCCAAAGAAGTGATTCTGAAACTAGCTGTAAGCAAACTACTTTCTGTTAAAGCTGTGTGTGTGGTGGATACAAAGAGAAAGACGCTGCACACCTGTCTGGTGCTGGGGGTGGCCAGGGAGCTGTATGACCAGGGTCTGGTAGTGCTTCTGGGCATCCGTGAACTGAGACTGCATTTTCCGCTTATCATCATCTCCAAACATCTCCGAGCCCTGGCTGTTTCTGATGAACTCTTGGTAATGTAGCTCAAGGTCAGATATTGTCTTCATGTAATCTTCCTGCCGCATCGTTTTCAGCTGGAAGTAAACCAGGCAGGAGTGTTTGATTGTCCCCATAGCGTGACCAAGAAGAGTGCCAGAAAAAGCCCTATGCTATCGGTGGCTTAAGGCAATACTTGTCAAAGGCTGATTAAGATATAAAAGGTCTTTGGGGCTCCTCGGTGGCGCAGTCAGTTAAGCACCTGACTCTTGGTTTCGGCTCAGGTCATGATCTCAAGGTTGTGAGATCAAGCCCTGCGTCAGGCTCTGCGCTCAGTGTGGAGTCTGCCTGAGATTCTCCCTCTCCCTCTGCCCCTTCCCCCCTCGTGCTCTCTCTCTCTCTCAAATAAATAAATCTTAAAAAAAAGAAAAAGATATAAAAAGTCCTTGAGGATTCCAAGTTTGCTCCTCAGAGCCATGGCAGTGGGTTGTCTATTTTTTTCCTGCAGAATTTTATTCGCCAAAGGAAATATTACTCAGAAGTCGCAAACCTAAAGCAGATCATAGCAAAGCTGCTCTGACTGAAAAGAGAAAAGGGGGAGTAAGGGGAAGCACCAGATGTATCCATTCTGTGCCTCTCTCCTCTCTGCTGGCCCTGTCATCCCTAGAGGACCCCCTTAAGCTAGGATTCTTCAGACCATAACTCAAAAACCACTGATCTAGAGAACGAATGCTGTGGGTGTTATTTCAAGAATTCTATCCCACCTTTTACTTCTGTGATATCCAGTTAATAATTTATGACCTAGCTTTCCATTACATCAAAGGAGAATAAGATCCAAGGTATTACAGGACCACATGCCTTTTCCATGGTACTTCTGGCTTGTCAGGAAACTGTAATTTGTACTTCTGTTTGTACCAGAGCCAGCCACTTGTGAATCCCTCCCACTCTACGTGGGATGGACCCTAACCACTCAGGCAGGCTGAGCTGACTCTCCTGATGACATACAAAAGCATCAGCTGCACTGCTAGGAGGTCTGCCTGGCAGAAACAAGCACCACGGGGGGCAGTGTGGAGCCTCCTCCAGGCAGCCCGAGGGGTCCTGAGGATGTACCTTGGCGATAGTCATGGCCCTGATTTTCTCAATGTCGATCATGCAGTAGTGCCAGGACACCAGGCTCTTCATGTTGATGTACAGCTGGTTCCACAGAGCCAAGATGGCCTCATAGTACTGCTCAATCCTAGAAGGCACAAGGGGAAAACACACTGGAGTCCCCAAGAACTAACAGAGTAATGGGCAAATGTATACTTTTTAAACACTCAACATTTCAATGGATCTGGACTAAGTTACTCTCCAAAAGTTCATTCTCAGTGAACAACATTAGTAGAGGTAATTCACTTTGTTCTCCTGTTGTTTGTCAGCAACTTTTTAATAGACAGAAGTCTAACACCACGCAGGATGACAGGGAGAAACCGCTCATGGGATGCTGATGGCTACTGCAGCTTGGAAGCGAGCACGTGGGCTTGTTATGTTACCTTCCTTATTCTGTGTATGGCTGAGGATTTCCATAATAAAAGGTGGACAAGAATCTGCCGCAGACAATCAGTACAATGAATGCTCTACCTGCTTGTTGATGAGCAGGTATTAATATGAAGGGCATTTTATATTTGTGGCTACCTGCAAAATTACTGATAGTCTAAAAAGGGAAGAAGAACTTTGAAACAATGCCCTCAAGATACATGGTAGGAATTGTTTCCTCACAGACATCTGGATCCAGGAGGCACAGAGAACTCCCATCAAAATCAACAATAGCAGGCCAACACCAAACATATTGTAATTAAATTTGCAAAAGAGTGATAAAGAAAAAAATCTTAAAAGCAGCAAGACAAAAGAAGTCCTTAACTTACAAGGGAAAACCTGTAAGGCTAGCTGGAGATTTCTCAACAGAAACTTGGCAAGCCAGAAGGGAGTGGCATGATATAGTCAAGTACTGAATGGGAAAAGGCTGCAGCCAAGAATACTCTATCCAGCAAGGCTGTCATTCAGAGGAGAAGGAGAGATAGTTTCCCAGACAAACAAAAACTAAAGGAGTTTATGACCACTAAACCAGCCCTGCAGGAAATATTAAAGGAGATTCTTTGAGTGCAAAGGAGAGACAAAAAGTGACAAAGACAAGAAAGGATTAGAAAATATCTCCAGAAACAATGACAAAACAAGTAATAAAATGGCAATAAATACATATCTATCAATAATTACTTTGAATATAAATGGACTAAATGCTCTAATCAAAAGACATAGGGTGTCAGAACAGATTAAAAAAAAAACAAGACCCATCTATATGCTGCCTACAAGAGAATCATTTTAGACTAACAGACAGCTACAGAGTGAAGGTGAGGGGGTAGAGAAACATTTATTATGCAAATGGATGTCAAAAGAAAGTCAGAGTAACAATACTTATATGGGACAAACTAGACTCTTGTTTCTGTATTTTTATCCTGCTTTGGTTAGGGGTAGTAATGGCCTCATGGAATGATTTTGAATGTGTTTCCTCTATTCCATTATTTGTAAGATTTTGATAAAGATTGTCATTAATTATGTATTTTTAATGTGGTCTTGAGCTTTTCTGTGCCAGGAGATTTTTGATTCCTAATTTAACTTTCATTCTTGTTATTGGTCTACGAAGATTTCCTATTACTTGGATTCAAGATTCATGATTCAATCTTGGTAACTCGTGTATTTTTAGGAATTATCTGGGTTTTTTTCCCCCTAAGTTATCTGATTTGTTAGTATATAATTCTTTAGAGTAATCTGTTATCACACTATGTATTTCTGTAGTTAACTGTTGCACTGTTTTCTCTTCCATTTCTCATTTTGATTTTTGAGTCTTCTCTCTTTTTTTTCCCCCTTAGCTAATGTAGTTAAAGCATTGCCAATTTTGTTTCTCTTTTTGGAAAAACTGGTCATTACTTTCAGTGTTATGTTAGTTTATTCTGGTCTTGATTTTATTTATTTCTGGTTTTTCTTTGTTCTTTCCTTCCTCTACTAAATTTCAGCTAGGTTTCTTCTTTTCCTGGTTCCTTGTGGTATAATGTTAAGTTGTTTATTTGCACTTTTTTTCTTAATACAAGCATTCACAGGTAAATTTCACTGTAATATCTGCTTTTGCTGCATCCCATAGGTTTTGGAATATTGTGGGGTATTTTCTTTTGTTCTGGGACATATTTTGATTTGCCATTTGATTTCTTATTTGGCCCATTGCTTGTGCAGTAGTGTGTTGTTTAATATTTACATATTAAATATTTACTATTTAAAAAAAAGAATTGTTTCCTCCGGTCCCCGTACACAGTCAGACATTCTCTTTTACCTTCCAATAAAAACTGGAATCTTCAACATAAAGTCGCATAACAATGCAAGGGGACCTTCCTGAGGCTCCTTTTTTCAAGGGAGGGGATTTTAGTGAAAAAGAGTATGTCTGTGTTTTTCGTATAAGCATTTGCCCTATTTCTCCACACTCGCATTCACGTTGTGGCTACTAGAAACTTCAACAACTTACTTGCACGAGAGGTCTACGGCCAGAGGATTTGGAGGAGGGATAATCAGACCGACAGAAGGGACGAGCATGTCCACACCTCCAGGACCCGTCACATACCACTTGCTGCGCTCATTATTGTCCTTCAGGATGCACTCATCCCCTTTGTGCACGATTTTCTGTAAGGCAAGTGGCCCGTGTTTTGGCTTTACTCATGAGTACACATGTTTATCTTTTTTTCGAAAGAGAAATAGAGATAAAACTGTGCAAACCATTTGAGCTTTTACCTTATTATTTTTCTTTATTTTATTTTTTTTAAATAGGCTCCATGCCCAGTGTGGAGTCCAACATGGGGCTTGAACTCACAACAATGAGATAATGACCTGAGTCGAGATCAAGAGTCGAACGCTTAACTAACTAAGCTACCCAGGTGCCCCTTATTATTTTTCTTTAAATGAAGATGATCTTTATACATCCCAACAATACTGATGCTTTAAATAATGCACCAGAGCCTAAAAGGTGTGTATAAAATGAATTAGGTAAAGTAACTTTCTAAAAGACAGCCTGGGGAATCCATCAGTAAAGTGAGAAATCCTTTTGTAAAGCAAAAATTCACCCCATGGCTTTCCTATTTTTATGAGTTCATATTTTACATTTTAGATTTACTATGCAAAGTTACTTGCCTCACACATTCGCTCTTAAAATTTAGAAGTAAAAACAAGAAATTCTGGCATCAGGTCCCCAGAAAAACAACTTTCTAAATTAACTCCACCATCCAAATACCTTATTTTTTAAATTAACTCCATAGCTTCTTGAAAGGGGTACACTTCGAATATGACAACTATCCTCACTGGTGAAATGTAACAAGCTTGATATTTACGTATTTCAATCTCTATTTCAACTTCTCCTCTCCATGCAAGTTCTTAAAATATTTTTTCCTGTGAGAATAAACTCCATTGTTTTAGAACATTTATCTAAGCAACTGATCGTATTTCTTAAACCCTCCGTAATTTTTATAAGAAATCAGAGCTGTGGGAATTACATAAATAACTAGTAAAACCAAGTCATCTTTCCATATAGATGGTTGTATTTACCGCAGAGCCCGCAGAGTTGATGGGCTCAGTGACTGCAGAAAATCTGCAATGATAGTCACTTCATATGCAGCATAATGGTCACATTTCTCATTTCTTTTATGTCAGAAATTCAAAGATCTTTCAAGAAATTTAAAGACTTTAAAATCTAAGATTTAAAGGGTGATCACAAATAAAGTTTTGCATATTAGAAGAAGAAAAGTGTTAAGACTTAAAATGAATAGTCTAGGGACGCCAGGGTGGCTCAGTCGGGTTAAGCGTCTGCCTTCAGCTCAGGTCATGCTCCCAGGGTCCTGAGATCTAGCCCCTCGTCGGGCTCTCTGCTCAGCGGGGAGTCTGCTTCTCCCTCTCCCTCTGCCCCTCGTCCCGCTCCCTCTCTCTTTCTCTCTCTCAAGTAAATAAAATCTTTACCAAAAAATAAAATAAATAAAAAATAAAATAAAATAAATAGTCTATAAATAACCGCTGTCCTAATTATTAAAAACTGTGCTAGGACTTAGAACAGAGCTGCTGCATTTTTCCACAGCTTGCTGCTTTGTGTATGAAAGAAAGGCATTTTCTGTGCTGCTCACTGAAACCTGGATTAAACTCGACTCCCTCTATTGACAAAACTCTCTGTGTAAAGAAAGGGAAAACTTGGGCTTCATTCTGAATAACCGAGTGCACACCTGGTCTTGTTTGTAGTCACAGAGAGCCCTGAGAATGATGGGTTTGTTGCTTCTATAGTCTGGGTTCCGTGGTTTCAGCTGCACAATCTTCTTGGACTTGTTTACCAAGTTCTGTACCTGACGCTTGTATTCGAGGATTTTCTCTCGTTCTTTCTGCAATTGCAAATAAGATCGTGTTTTCATCACATAAATACTCTGAATTTCAGAGAAGAGCTGCAAGTGACACCAAAATAGCTGCTACGACATGACAAATAAGAAATTGCTATCATTGTCTGAGCTCCAAAAAGCTACAAATTCCTCTATGGGCAGGGACTCTCAGGACCTTTCATAATGAGCCACTTCGGAAGCTACAGAGCCGTGAATTGAGTGGGCGGGAAAGACTATCATTGTGTGAAAAGCCTACGTAGATGGAATTTGAAGTATGCTTTTCCAAGGGAAATTTCACGCCAAGTAATCAGTATTCTCTCTGTTTTTGCTTTGTGATGATACCTCCAGCTCTTTGATCTGTTCCAGCAGGCGCTGCAGGGGCATGTTCTTATCACAGGGGTACTTCTTTCTGATGGAGTCCTGAAGGCCCTTCAGGTAGGCTTCGGTTGACTGGGCCTCTTCAAAAAACTATTAAAGATGAGCATGATCACATGTTAATGAAAAGGCAGTCAGTAAACAGCAACATCTAACATTTCCATGTCAAGGACTACCTTCCCGGAGTCTATTTAACAGGTGGCTAATGAAACGATATTAACTCATGGGACAGCAAGAGACATCTGAGTGACTGGTGCCCAGGTTACCAGTCTGTGCTGCTCTAAACTGAAAGCCAATAAATGGTATTTGTAAAATATTTTGAAGATTGTTTTCGGTGCTTTAAAAAAATACCTTCCAAAAAATAAAGTATTAGGACCTAAACGACAATTAAATTACTACTAAGCATAAAAACCTGAAAGTAGGCAGCATTTTCTTTGAGGTGAACGTCAATGCACTTGGTGATCTGAAGAATCCAGCTCCACTGTGTCTGAAGAGTGTCCATATAGGCCTGAAGCAAGAAAACATCAGCTGTCACATCACCACTCAGGCATACAAGGACATCCGTTCTTTGATAGATATGTGAGTCCGATTGAAAGCTATGAAACATTTTTTTATCGACTACCAAATCAAGCAAACGTTTTTCTAAAAAGTGAAAACAGAATTTCCCAACAGGGAACTCATGGTACCGTAGAAATTAAACTTTAAAACCAGTTTTAGCAAATAGATACCATTAGGAGTATTTGTCAAAATACTCAAATGGCATCGCTACTGACCAATCAGAATTAGAGTAGACACTAGATGTGACACTGGAGCAGGGTCCTTCCACTGCACCCTGTCCCCATACAGCTGCCAAGATGACGGGCAAGTCCGAGGAACCCATGCAGAGGGCTTGAGGGTCTTAAGGCAGTGACTCTCACCAACTGATAGGAAAATACTTCCAACCAATATGGCCATACCAGTTGATGTCATACCAGCTAATGTCAGCCTTGAGCACAGCCCACAGATGGCAGCCTAGGGCAGAGGTCAGCAAGCCACAGCCCAAGGGCCACATCTGGCCCACTGCCTGCATTTATAAATAAAGTTTTATTGGAACACAGCCATGCCTGTTCACTTACATATTGTTATGTTTGCTTTCACACTATAATGGCAGAGTTAAGTAATTTCGACAGAAACCAAATGGTCTGCAGACCTAAAATGTTTATTATTTGGTCCTTTCCAGAAAAGTGTGCCAACTGCCAGTCTAGGGTGCTGATCCCAAAATATATAAAATAAACTTGTCATGGCTTTATGACAGATAAGAATCATTCATCTGTATAGTCTTTACAAAAAGTTCCCTTTTTTCTCTAATGAAAATATAAATCTCATGAAGCCTACCTCAATTTTGTCTGAAGCCGGATGCTGATTGAGGACAAGTTGGTCACTTTCTTGTTTAAGCTTATTGAGCTCTTTTTCCTTAACTTCCAGTTGGCTCATGCGTATCTATAAATGAAAGAAAAGCAAACACTTCAGAGCAAGTCACCATTAGCCTTCCAGCACTTCTGCCATGTTGAAGGGAACTTAGAACAGAAAACTGCATTGTGGAAATGAACAATGTCAAAGAATTGTGTTATGGTTTCCTCAAGAATCATAGCATTTTTAAGACCAAAAAGGACGTTTGAGGTCATCTAGTACATGGCAGAGGCCACACTGGTGACATGTCTTTTTTTTTTTTTAAAGATTTATTTATTTGACAGAGAGAGATAGCGAGAGAAGGAACACAAGCAGGGGGAGTGGGAGAGGGAGAAGCAGGCTTCCCGCAGTGCAGGGAGCTCGATCCCAGGACCCTGGGAACATGACCTGAGCCGAAGGCAGACGCTTAATGACTGAGCCACCCAGGCGCCCCCCTGGTGACATGTCTTGCCCAAAGCCACACATAAGTTTTAATCCACCATCCTACTGTTCTACACACCCTCTGGGATATCTGAATGCCTAATTCTGACTCTATCTGCTGACTTCCAGGATGTTAAGCAATGCATTGCCCCTCTAAAGTCACCGGAAAAGCTTCCAGAAAGGAATGGCTCTCCATGACCATTTCAACAGAGGCTGAATGACAAAGGAGTTGATTAAGTTATTTCAAGGCCATTCATCCCCATCTCAGGGCCCTCCCAGGCAAGAGCCTCACATCTACAACCAGGAGGGGTGAGCTTACAGAGAAGGCCTCCTGCTTCTGGGCGATGTTGGTGTTCCGATCACTCCAGTCATAGAGCAGCTCCTCCTCCTCACAGTCATTGATCCACATGATCTCTCGGGACGTGGCCTGGATGATGTTCTGCAGCTGTCGTAGGTGATCCATCCTCTCAAAGGACGCTTTCTACACAGGAAGTTCAAAAGCAGCATTAGGATCACAGCATGCACATTAATGGTGTTCTCTGCAGATTCCAGAGATAAGACTGTGTGGTCCCTTTTACATTAAAAAAATTTTTTTAAATTTTGTATTGTTATGTTAATCACCATACATTACATCATTAGTTTTTGATATAGTGTTCCATGATTCATTGTTTGTGCATAACACCCAGTGCTCCATGCAGAACGTGCCCTCTTTAATACCCATCACCAGGCTAATCCATCCTCCCACCCCTCTCCCCTCTAGAACCCTCAGTTTGTTTTTCAGTCCATCAACTCTCATGGTTCGTCTCCCCCTCCGATTTCGCCCCCTTCATTCTTCCCCTCCTGCTATCTTCTTAAAAAAAAATTTTTTTTAATTAAATAAATAAATAAATCACATGAATCAATAAAATGTTCACTGACCACCTAGTATGTAAAAAAAGACCCATCCAAACTTAACAATGAACAGGGAGTACTTTTAGATTCAATGGAATAACCTAATTCAAGAGGGTCTTGATTCAGACACTGATGTTTGGGTTCAATAATTAGTTTTAGATTACAAAGGGAAAATTAGAATCTTAAAAAGATAAATTAAGCTTTTCCTGCCTTCTTCCGCACTCCCAAAATTCAAGGTACTGTTAGTCACACCCAGACCTAACAGGACAATTGTGTCACAGCTAGCCACATTATTTAAAAAGGATCATTGCCGGGGTGCCTGGGTGGCTGAGTCAGTTGAGCGTCTGACTCTTAATTTCAGCCAGGGTCATGATCTCAGGGTCCTGGAATCAAGTCCTGCGTCAGATTCTATGCTCAGCAGGGAGTCTGCGTGAGGCTTCTCTCTCTCCCCCTCCCCCATCTTCCCCTGACTCAGGCGCACTCTCTCTCTCTCTCTGTCTCTCTCTATAAATAAATAAATAAATAAATAAATAAATAGGATCACTACCAACAAAGAAATACTGAAAAGGTGAAGATTGGGTGACACAAATAGGCAAAAAAAAATGGCAATAGCTCTTCTTCTTACCAGACCAGTGAATTGATTTCCATTTTGTCATAAAATGGTGATGATGGTCTAAGAAACTTCTATCTGGGGAAAATAAGTCTTATTTTTGCTAATACTTCATAAAAAGGCTACCATTCACAAGTGAAAAAGCTTTATCTCTTTAATTGCAAGTATTTAAAATAGGTGCTATCTATATGACGCTCAACTTACAAACAGAACAGCGCTGGGTACTGTCTTCAGAAAAAAATCTTCTAATACTCACTTCTAAAGGAAACCCAGCAGTAGAAATGAAAGTCGCATCTACAGGCCCTAAGTATATACTTCCAGGTACTCCCATGGTCATTAGGTGCCTCACGCCCAGGCGTGCTCCATTTTAATGGAATGGAACACAGAGATGTCAGAAATAAGTCAGCTTACCAGCAGGTTTTCATACTCCTCCTCCAACTGGTAGATGGCAGATTTCTCACGCTAGAAGAAGATAAACAGTGAGTAATTATTTAATTCCCCTTGTGGGTTGGTATACAAACAGCAACCCTTCTAAACCTCCTTTTTGTCAGATAATGACTTCAGATCACTCAGTAGAAAGAAGTGTTTGCTCTACAGAAACTTTTACCCACAGGGACCTTTTCCCAGTTGGATTTGAAGGCAACCCCCACCCCCTCCACTGGCCTGGTGGTACCATCTTTTAGATCTTAGAGAAAAGAGGGAGGAATTTGGTCAGATACTCAAGTGAACAAAAGTAAGGGGAGAAAAAAAGGCAGAAGTGAAGATGAGTATCTCTGGTCTAAGTAAAGAAAAAAAAAGTGAGGGATTTAGAAGCATGAAGATCTGGGGGGAACCAGGCACTTAAAACCGGGTGATTATTTCATGCTATAATTCTTGACCCAGCTTCAAGCCAGTCCTTTCAGCAAAGGAAAAGTGTCAGGAAGAGACACATAGAAAAGAATGCGCCAAGCACACAAATCTCTACGATTGCTGTGCTTTGTCTATTTGAAGAGATGCTCTGCTTTCTGAAAAAAAAACAAACAAAAAACCCGACCATCCCCCAAAATACTCATCTACAAACTACACACAAATCCACATGTGTATGCCCTTCGCCTTTTGCTAACCTCTTCCTTAAGAGTTAACACAATCTCTACTAGGTCTATCTGAGTCCACTTCCCCATTTATGAAATGGGATTTTTAGAAGTTTCCAGTCCGTTGGGGAAGAAATCTTAGGCTAATGTTTACAGACAAAAAATGCCCAGGATTGAGGAACTACACAATCCTTAGGTATGCTTTTTCAAGACTCTAAAAATGAAACATCTCAAAGTACCAGGTCGGCTTTGATTTTGTCCAGTTGCCAGCGATAGTCCCCGATGGTGTTGTGGATGCTTCTGTGGCTGCTGATGTGCTGCTCCACGGAGGCCAGGTCCACGCCCCAGGCCACCAGATCCATCTCCGCCTGCCGAGGGAAAGAGAGTGTGCCCTTCATGTCCGATCCTTTGCATCTGACTACCTTACCCAGAGCATCAGGGGTCAGAGCACCAAGGGACATACATAGCTTCCATTCCGATAAGACTGAAGATGTCAATATTCAATATTTTCAAAACCAAAAAAATTTTGTAAAGGCTTGGAGTTCTCAACAGCAAACGGGGCTGGTCCGCAACTTGTTGACCCCCAGCTCACCACGGCTGAGGACAGGTGATGCAGGAATGAGATGCTTGAAAGCTAGATCATGTCCTCTGAAGAAAAAAAAAATCTACCTGGGTAGAAGTGGTGTGTGTGTGTGTGTATAACAGGTGTGCATATCTACGTATGAGACGTTAGAAATTACTGGTAGACGTTTCTATATTCAGTCATTTTAAACTGTGAAATAGTTCATTAAGCTCAGTCATGTACTATGTCCCAAGCTAAACAGCCAACTTAAACGTATTTTTCATTGTTTATTCCTTTAAATTGTTTTGATTCCTGTAATTATCAACTCTTTAAACTCAGCATTTACCATTACCTTTCAGGATGCCCAACTCCCTATAATCCATTTCAAAGAGAAGTTACTATAGAGCATACTCAAAGCTCATTTCAATTAATGTTGGCAATATTAAGATGGCGGATTTATTGGGGAGAAGACATGAACAGACATTTCTCCAAAGAAGACATACAAATGGCTAACAGACACATGAAAAAATGTTCATCATCATTAGCCATCAGGGAAATTCAAATCAAAACCACCTTACACCAGTTAGAATGGCAAAAATTGACAAGGCAAGAAATAACAAATGTTGAGAGGTTGTGGAGAAAAGGGAACCCTCTTACACTGTTGTTAGGAATGCAAGCTGGTACAGCCACTTTGGAAAACAGTGTGGAGTTTCCTCAGAAAGTTAAAAATAGAGTTACCCTATGACCCAGCAATTGCACTATTGGGTATTTACCCCAAAGACAGAGATGTAGTGAAAAGAAGGGCCATATGCACCCCAATGTTCATAGCAGCAATGTCCACAATAGCCGAACTGTGGAAGGAGCCGAGATGCCCTTCAACAGATGAATGGATAAAGATGTGGTCCATATATATAATGGAATATTACTTAGCCATCAGAAAGGATGAATACCCAACTTTTGCATCAACATGGATGGAACTGGAGGAGATTATGCTAAGTGAATAAGTCAAGCAGAGAAAGTCAATTATCATATGGTTTCACTTATTTGTGGAATATATATAAGGAATAACATGGAGGACATTAGGAGAAGGAAGGGAAAAACGAAGGGGGGGAAATCAGAGGGGGGAGACGAACCATGAGAGACTATGGACTCCAGGAAACAAACTGAGGGTTTTAGAGGGGAGGGGGGTGGGAGGATGGGTGAGCCCGGTGATGGGTATTAAGGAGGGCATGTATTGCATGGAGCACTGGGTGTTATGAGCAAACAATGAATCATGGAACACTACATCAAAAACTAATGATGTACTGTATGGTGACTAACACAACATAATAAAATAAAAAATAAAAAATAAAAATAAATTAAAAAGATGGCAGATTTATGTGAGCTCTTTAAAAGTCAAATCTGACTGCCTTTCTAATTTGAGTCTCCCCCACTTCAAATTTAAGAACGCCACATAATAAGAATCAAGCGTTCTATTCCACAAGCCTATCATCTCATCTTTCTTTTGCACAAGCTCATGTAAATTTCCAAATCACCTGTGTCATCTCTTAGACATGCCAAGGGCAAACATTCCAGTCTGGTATTGCAGCAAGAACATAACACACATTGTTCTAAGCCACATCCATGTCCTAATACACTTGGCGAGCCTTCAGAGAGGGGAGCCATTTCGGCCAGACTGTCGAAAGTTACCTAGGACTTTGACCTGTCCCTCCCTCAGCTCACTTGGGCTTTAAGGCAGAAACAGGTGAGTACACTGGGAAGTTAATGAGATGACTAGGCTCCCGTGCCCGTCCCTCATTACCAGCCAGGAACCTGTGCAGTATCTGACCTGTCCATCAACAGAAGCACAAATCAGGGAAACAAAACAAAAGCCTGGCACAGGAGATGTGTGACTGCCTACTGGTCATGGGGCCTCGAGGGACGCTGCTCCCTTATCAGCTAGCTGGGCCCGCAGCTCAGTCCCCTCGGGAGTGAGAAAGAATGCGGGCTATGCTTGGGGGAAGAAGGATAAGAGGGAAAGGGCCCCAGAGAATCCCAGAGCAAATGGGCTGTAAGTGATAAAACGACTTTTAGTTCCTTTGAACCCCTGGGGGCCAGCTGATCTGAAGTGCTTCGCTCATCAGTTGCACCTATTAAAAAATACTCCCCCACCAAGACACAAAGCTGAGCCCACGAGATAACGCCATTTTCCAAAACTTAAAAAATGCTGAGCTTTCGCGACAAAGGAGTCTCACAAAGCTACACCCAACGTGAATGCGGAAAATGACCAATTATGAGCTGTCCTTCTATGTAACTGTCATACTAAGGAGAAATTAAGGGATTTGATGTTTCATAAATTATTTGGTTCAAAGGTTGTCTCACCTAACATCACTTACAATGTAGTTCAAGCCCCATCAGCTCTGCCAAGCCTTCTTTTCAGGGCTCCATTCCCCAGGGCCCAGAGCACTACCCCTCCCCCAGCCCTATCTGAGCAGGATTTTATTACAGCTCAAATAGCAATTAACCCCACACTGCTCTGGACAGAAATGTGGCATGTGGGTGTACATGTCTTGTTTTCTTCAATAATACTCACTTTCAGGACTAGGAAACACAGTTTTTGAACACTCACTTTCAGGTATGGTGCCAATACATATAAAATTTAGCTCAAGAAATGTGTGTTCAAAGATCAAAAGGGAATTTGAAAACATGCAAATAGGACTATAGTTAGGTTTCTGGGATTATTACTGACTTTTCTCCTCTATAAGCCCCACCTTCTGTGATAGTATTGCATAGTCTTTATGCTAAGTGGAAGAAGAACTTAACTAACTGAATGAATGAATGTATAGACCCATAAACCCTCACCACCACTTAGGAAAGAACACATACAAAAAATCTCAAGTGGTTGAGAAACTTTAGAACCACTGCTCAACTGGTCCAACAACAAGCAGTAAGACCAATACTTCTTACAACCACAACCACATGGCATCACAAATGATGTCTGTACAATTTATCAGTCGAACGCATCCACCTTCTCCAGAGAAGAGTGGTTCACTAGCATGAGGTTTTAATTATACAATTCCCATCTACATGATTCTGGCATATTTCTAATGCCACCTGTTCATCAAAGGGCGTAATGACCACATAAAACCACACAACAATAATTAGCAGGGGAAAACACTTTGTAGAAACTGCAGTTGCAGTATACTTTGGGAAGCAAAGTATACTTTGGTGGTCATTATTTCGCTCCCCTCCCACACCCGTGATGTAATGATTGCACAAGAACAACTGATACCTCAAAAATATAAGGTGAGCAACTGATGAGGCCAAACCAGAATATCCAGTTTTACTGTGTTTCCAGCTCCTCTGATTTAACATTTTAAATGAGCCTCCACGACATTTTTAAGTACCTATCAGTAACATAGATGAGATCACTTACGACTCAGGTAGAACAATGAAATTTTTAGCACATAAACTCCAACACATTTTCAGGTTGTGAACAGTAAAAGCTAGATATTCAAAATCTACTAATTAAGTTATACCTGTGCGATAAGTTTTGACCAGAAAATAATGAGGCTCATTTCCTAAGCCACAAGAAAGAAAAAAAAACCAAAAAAACTGTCTGAAGCTTTATTTATTTCAAAATAGAAGCCTTCAATTTAAATTATATACGAGACGGGGCACCTGGGCGGCTCAGTCGGTTAGGCATCCGACCCTTGATTTTGGCTCAGGTCATGATCTCAGGGTTGTGAGATCAAGCCCTACATTGGGCTCCACACTGGGCATGGAGACTGCTTAGGATTCTCTCTCTCTCTGTCCCTCCCCCACTCGCTCACAAGCATGCACACGCTCTCTCTCTCTCTCTAAAAAGTAAAAAAATAAAAATTACATATGAGGAAAATACGGAAAACAGCAAGTTTCTGCTGCCAGCTGAGATCCCAGACCACTCTGTGGCCAGACCACTGGGGCTGACCCTGACCCACTCAGGCTTGGAACATTCGAGAATCAACCTTGTCTGGAAGCTGCTTACCCTCTGCTGTCTCATCCACCCCAGACATTCGCTGGTGAGGCGCTTGGTGAATTCATCCCACCCAGAGCCACTCTGACAGGTGTACCCTCCACCACCCTTGGAGCTGGCCCTTCGGACTCGAGGGACGCTGATGGCTTTATAAAGGGCTCGCATTTGCTCCTGGAGCTGAAGCAGTCTGAAAAGAAAGAAACACAATCACACTGTTGCAAGAAAACAGCCTATGACCCCATGTTCTGGGCAAATGTCCCCCCTTCTGAGTCTCCTTTATTGTCAGGATGGAGGTCACAAATGTTTGATTTGAAGAATTCTTTACCACATGACTTGAATTCTCAATCACTTACAAAATCCTCAATATTATGACGCTCAGAGTCTGAAACATCACGGGAAAGGTAGCCGGCTTGGCCTAACCTGGTAGCACCTTCTGCTTTCCCCCCAGATTTCACCCGGGGAACTAGCCTCATATCCTGGGCCCCAGGTACCATGACAGCAAAATCAAGACTACCCGTCTCTACTTTAACCTGCTTTCCCAACTCTACAAGTCTCATTTTTGTATGCATGAAACAGCGCTTGACTTGGTATTGGACTCTTAAAAGTCAAATGCTGTGCCAAAGGCCATTGCTGCTTCCCAAATGGAGGTCCGGTGAACATCTCGTAACATACTCAACCCTTCAGTACAAGCCCGCTCCTTTGGGTGGGTCTATGTAATTCTTTTCATGGCAGCTTTGTGATTCCACATGAGATGGAGGTAGTGATCTTAGTCAATTTGGACACAGTAGCTACAAAATACCAAGTGAAGCTGTGCTCCCTTTGAGGGAAGACCTGGGCCGTGGGATGGAGCGTAAGTGGGGAGGCCCGCCTGCATCTGTGCTCTGTGGTAGGAGCAATACCTTTTCTGATAAGCATCACAGGGCTGGCCCATCTGTCGCATCTCTCTGATCAAGCTATCGGTAATTTCCATCTGATCATTGGCCTGGGCAAAACACTCATCCAGTTCTCTGCTCCGAGCCAGCTGTATTCCATCTCCGTATTTCAGTTCCTGAAGGAAAGAATTCACATGAAGGAAACACGTGGAGAGAATGCTTCACTTGTGTTCATGCTGGAGAGAAAAGCTTCACTTGTGTTAATGGAAGCAAAACCTTCTGCTGTGAACTTAACAAATAGTCTAAGTTTTCCATTTTGCACGTGACTGCAAAAAAAAATTCCTAACTGGAAAATTACCTTATTGATTTGAGACAGGTAGGTAAATATAGAAGGATTAATGAAGCGAAATTTGTTGTGTATTTTAAATTTTTACTAGGCTTTTAAAAGCGTGTTTATGGAACACTGATCTTTCCCTTCCTTCAATGTGTTAAGTGCTATCTTTCATATTTACACAGGACGTTCAGCCAATGGGAATTTCACTGCGGTAAGAACATGGTACTATTGGGGCGCCTGGGTGGCTCAGTTGGTTAAGCGACTGCCTTCGGCTCAGGTCATGATCCTGGAGTCCCGGGATCGAGTCCCGCATCGGGCTCCCTGCTCGGCGGGGAGTCTGCTTCTCCCTCTGACCCTCCTCCCTCTCATGCTCTGTCTCTCACTCTCTCTGTCTCAAATAAATAAATAAAATCTTAAAAAAAAAAAAAAAAAGAACATGGTACTATTGTACTGGATAAGGTCTTATCCACACAAGCTGAGCTTTTCCTCCATCTTATAGGATCATAGTTTTTCAGTTCTTAAAAAGGAAGCTATCTAATTCATTGTCTTGGGCCAATCGATTTCCTGCTTCTTTTTTTTTTTTCTTTTCTTTTATTTATTTATTTGAGAGAGAGAATGAGATAGAGAGAGCATGAGAGGGGGGAGGGTCAGAGGGAGAAGCAGACTCCCTGCTGAGCAGGGAGCCCGATGCGGGACTCGATCCTGGGACTCCAGGATCATGACCTGAGCCGAAGGCAGTCACTTAACCAACTGAGCCACCCAGGCGCCCTCGATTTCCTGCTTCTGATGATGCATGACCCTTATATGAGACGTCACCTGTGGGGAAACTGGGTGATGGGCACACAAGAGTGCTCTGTGCTATTTTTACAACTTCTTGTGAGTCTATAATTATTTTGAAATTAAAAAATTGTTTTAGAAAAGGAAACCGTCCTCTTTTACATGCAAAGAAGACTGCTGCTTCAGGACCATAAAGCTTCAGCTTTCCCTTAGAATTTTACATTTGCTGCTTTAATTGGGCTTCAGCCAAATGAACCTCCTTTCTCTTAACAGAAATGGTAGCAAATACGCTACATTTCACTGACGTTATTACACTTCAGTGCACATAAGTAGAAATACACTGAGAACATGATGCCATGTAAATTTTTGGAACCACATGTGAAATGTTTCCATAGCCACTATGCATCGTGTCCAGGTCAGGTGTTCAATATTAAGTCGCCGGAGCCTCCCGTTTTCCTTTAGGTAAGGGAATCACGGCTCTGTGATGAGGAGTGCGCTGCAAATCAGAGACTTGAAACGACCAGAACTAGAACCAAGCTAGTTTGCTAAGCCCCAAATATCCTTTTACATGGACTAAAGTAAGGTTATTTTTTTAACTGGGTAAAATAAACCAGAATGCACCTAAATCTCTAAAATTGAGAAATTAGAACATTAAGATATTCTCCAAACAGAACCCTTAAAATTCACTTGGTTAAAATCCCTCCTTATATTTAACAGGGGTACTTTGTGATGGGCCAGATTCCAGGTCTAACCCCTACATGAATGTCCACATCAGGGAGACTGGAACTCAATCCTTTCATGGGGAGATACAATAAATCAGGGGAGGGAGAGAGAAGGGGTCTACAGCCCCACCATTCTCTAGTCTGTTTTTAGCAAACCCATAGCAAATTCGAATGCTAGCTACAGTGTTTTTTTTGTTTTGTTTTGTTTTTTTAAGATTTTATTTATTTATTTGAGAGAGAGAATGAGAGAGAGAGAGAGAGCACACGAAAGGGGGGAGGGTCAGAGGGAGAAGCAGACTCCCTGCTGAGCAGGGAGCCCGATGCGGCACTCGATCCTGGGACTCCAGGACCATGACCTGAGCCGAAGGCAGTCGCTTAACCAACTGAGCCACCCAGGCGCCCCGCTAGCTACAGTGTTTTAAAATAAAAACTTTACACATACAACATCGCAGGGTCCAGGATTTCTAAGCCTGTTTCAATGAGAACCTAAGCTAATATACAGAAATATCATGAGGCTTTCATAAAGGCTACCATTTTCCTCAATTTTTAATTGCATGTTTTCTTTCTTTCTTTCTTTCTTTCTTTCCTTTCTTTCTTTCTTTCCTTCCTTCCTTTCTTTCTTTTTTTGTTTCTCAAATAGAATTGTTCTCACAACATGGTGACATACACATGTCAGGTTGCGTTTCTAGGAAGAGAATGCATTACAATAATCACAAAAATAATAATAAATGAGGGGTTGTTGCAAATCCAAAAGGGTGGCCATCTGTAGTGTAAACATCTGCTGGGGAAAACCTGGGTGAGCACTGGTTCCCATTGTTAAACCAACATTACAACTAGGTTAAGAAGATACACATCCCTCTCTAGTTCGTTTTGAAAAAGATAATCTCTAAACCCTAAGTAGGCGAAGGAGGGTCATGAGTGAGGAAGCACGGGTCAGGGGGATAAGTCGAAGCGAACTGGGAACAAAGCAAGATGTGGCTCATGCTTGAGCAGGACAAGCAAGCTCACCGGCTGCATGATCAGCTCTGCCCGCATCAGACAGTCCGCGCAGTTCTGGAGAAGTTCCTGGATGGTGTTCTGGTTCTGATGCCTGGACATGGTACCGGTTTGACTGATGAAACAAACACAAAAAAAGCAGGCATGGATTTTTTTTCCCCATTTCGAAATCATTTCGAACTTTCAGAAAAGTTGCAAAAAATGCAACAAAAACACTCCCTTGGACCCTTCACCGAGATTCCCTAAATGCTAACATTGCTAAATTCCTTTATACCCCTCTTCCCGCCTCTGTATGTGTATTTATCTATGGATACATACGCTTGTCTGAACCATTTGAAAATCATCATAAACTGTTCCACCAAAATATTTCAGCATATGTGTCCTAAGAATAAAGACATTCAATTATATAACCACAGTACAACGATCAAAATCAGGGCATTTAAAACTGATTGAATACGATTTGCTAATGAAGAGAACTTTTTCCAATTTTACTAAATAGCCCAATAATTAGCAAAGTTGTTTTTTTTTTTTCCCCAGGTCCAAGATCCAACCCAGAAATAGTCCCTTGAGTTGTAAAAACACATTTCTAGCCGCTTATCTATCACCTTTCCTGCTTCATCCCACAATAATTGACAATGTGGAATATCTGCACAAGCCCCTCCAAGGGCAGACCTCAAGGGATCAGACCCAGAGCATGAAAGTTTCACTGGCGAGTCTGGCTGAGGAAAACAGTAAGAGGCATGAGATGAGCTTATTCTACAAAAATATTTTCTGCAATCACAGTAAGACAATAATTATAAAGAAATACGGTGTCAGGAAAGTGATGGGAAATGTAAACCACTTTAATGCAAAAACAAGCCACTTTTCCTTTCAAGGTGACCCTATGGAATATTTTTCTCTACAATGATGGTCACCCAAATGTACACCTCAAATGAAACACTTTTTTAAAAAAAGATTTTGTTTATTTATTTGAGACAGAGTGAGAGAGCAAATGAGCTGGGGAGAGGGACAGAGGGAGAGGGAGAAACAGATTCCCCGCTGAGCGCGGAGCCCAACGAGGGGCTCGATCCCAGGACCCCGGGATCATGATCTGAGCCGAAGGCAGACGCTTAACCAACGGAGCCACCCAGGCGCCCCAAAACATTTTCTGGTAGATGCATGGCAGAAACCTTAAAAGAAACCTGGTGTTGTAGATGTGCCATATCTTAAAGAAAGAGACTGCAGGAATGTAATGTGCTCCAGACACAAGCAAAAAGAGCAAGGTATAATAAAAACAGTCTTGCTTGTTAATTCGCCAAGATACATTATGCCAGGGCACAGCCTCCTATAGCTTAGTTTAAGAGAGATTTAAAGCATATTAAATTATTATTTAATGTTCAGGAAAAGGCCTCCTGAACGCGCTGCAAGAAGCCTGAGTTCCAACCCCAGAGCCACCCAGGCCCCTTCAGCCAGGGCCGGCCTGCACCTGCAGATAAAACGAACGGTCTGATGCCTGTTTGATGTACTGCACTTTCTCCCCTGTTGTATGGACCTGCGTGTGGGGGTGGGTGTGTCTGTGTGTGCTGTAAAGAAAGAGTTTCACTGTTTAAAAAAAAAAAAAAAAAAGGTCGGGGGGAGTTGTAAAACCCAAGCTATACTATGCACAGATGGGGTAAAATTGCAAGAGATTTCTCCCACGGTGCCTGATGCTGCATCTTTTCACACTGGAGAGGCACTGACTTTCCCTGCCACCTCTTTGCCGGCCCTCCCTGCAAGCAAGGCTCCTCAACAAGCCGGCACTAGCTGATGTATGTCGGTGAGGACCCAAGCTCTCCCTGGGAACCGCTCCCAGATGATGACACGGCTCCTCCAGGCAGGCCCAGGCAGAACGCTGCCGAACGGCCCACCTATCAAAACCAGCACGCCCCACCCCTCACCCCCCATGAATGCAGCCTTCTCTTCCTTCCACACAGAATTACACAGGAAATCTGGCACATTACATCACTGACATGTAAACAGGACTCCATCAGTTGTCACAACTTGTGCAAAATTCCAATTGCCTTAGAATCACAGGAAAGAAATTCAAGAGACAAAGGGAAAAAATTGGGAAATACAAAAAGCTCATTTAGAACCCTAGGATGGATAAGGAATTAGGAAGGTCCTGTGTAATTATCTTTGTTTTCTTTCTTGAACGGGGATGAGAGTACCTTTGTTCGGAAGCATTTAGTGATTGTTTTCAGCAGTCTGGTTCAGAGAGTGGTTCCCACATAGAAAGCCAGTCCTCAGTTTATAAATGAAGGGGCTATCTCTTAGTGCAATGGAAAGTCAGGGTCCCTTAAATGACTTAATAACTCATGCTGTTATAAAAAGTATCACAAATTGAGCTGTAAGACAGAGCTGATAGGGGAAACTGGGTGAAGGGTCTATGAAAACTCTCTAGTAGCTTTGCAACTTTTCTGTAAAAGTGAAATTATTTCAAAATAAAAGTGTATTAAAAAAAAAAAAGCAGGGAGGCCAACTCAGCTGTGAATGAATGGACCACAGTGTACATACAAGTCTTTTTAAGAGTGAGTTTATGACACTAAATTCTAAATTCATTTGACAACAAAATATAAAACTCACCAGCTTCTTGGAAACCAACTATTAGTTACATGACACAGAAATGAACTGTATCCAGCAAAAAGGGAGGTGAGGAAGTTAAATGTTGGCTTAAAATACTGGTGGACTTTCTACATTTTTTTTGTCCCCTCCTCCTTTTAGAAGACATTCGTCTAGAGAGTGGTTGACATCTCTATAAATTTAGATACCATCTTAACTGCTTCCTCTCCACTACATACATCTGAACTTAAAACAAAACAAAACAGAAAAACCCAGATAACTTCATATGTTGCTGATAATTCTAAAAAGACTTCTTCATGCTTTACTAAAGGACCTGCCTATGTTCACCACACATGCCCTAGATATCCACTAAAACCCTGTATGTGTTGCTTGGCAATTAAGTGAATAGATTAAAAACAATACAGGAAAGAGAAATGCACAAAAATCTAATTTTTTTAAGGGTCAACAAAAAAGGAAAAGCTAAGTGTTAGAACAATGTAATGAAGAATCTTTGGCCTTGCTCTTTGTCTATAGGAAAATATGATCTACTTAACCAAATTCCATCTGACACACAACTTCTCAAGACTTCGCCTGGCTCTTAAAGCAAGATCCACGCATCCCATCTTTCATCTGTAAGAATCTCATTTCGGTCCGAGGTGTGGCTGAGAACAACCTCTGGACACAGAGCTAGGTGAGAAAGGGAACCGGGTGTACACTTTTTCTCATAGGTCGGTCGGTCGGTCAAAACCAGACAGAGGAAGGGAAACTCGGACCCACTGAGGTTTGGTGACTGGGGAAAAGAGAATCTACTTTCACGTTCAGTGTGAGTGTCTTTGGCCCAAGGGAGGATCCACGTAGAAATGGCTGTACTTAAATCAAGGAGGCAGTGCGGGCAAAAGGATCGTGACTCATGGAGTCGGTCCGGCGTCAGGCACTCAACCTTGTGCAGTGCTGGATCTTTCAGCCAGGAGAGCTGGCTTCGGGGAACACGTGTGTTTTTTTACAGTTGTGCGCCTTTCACAACTTCCTAAGTCAAATCATATTTTTTTTATTGACCACGTAACAATTCCAGAACTTGGGGAGGCTCAGTTGGTTAAGCGACTGCCTTTGGCTCAGGTCATGATCCTGGAGTCTCGGATCGAGCCCCACATCGGGCTCCCTGCTCGGGGGCGGGGAGTCTGCTTCTCCCTCTGAGCCTCCCCGCCTCTCATGTGCTCTCTCTCTCTCTCTCTCATTCTCTCTCTCAAATAAATAAATAAAATCTTTAAAAAAAAAAAACTATTCCAGAACTTTTTTTTTAATATCAGAAATGTCTAGACCTGGGTTTTCTCATGTGTTAGCCTAGATGATACTTAAGATTTATTTAGCTCACTCTTCTGTAACTCTGTTTCACAAAACTACCAAACGAACTCACTCCTACTGAGAATAAAAGTCTGTTCTGTCTCATGGCAGTGAAGTTTTCTCTTCAGTTCATAAGTGAATGGGAAAATACAAGATTCTATCATAGGTGAAGAAATAGTTTTTAAATAAATGTACTTATTTAACAAGCTTAGAAAGATTTTAAAAATCGCTGGCCTCAAAGAACTTTTCAGTACTGGTACTTTTATATATTTATATAAATGTTGGGGTGCAGAGATTTTAAACCATGGTGGGAATTTAACGAACAAGCTCAAAGTTCATGTTTTAAATCCCATTTCAGTGACAAGGAAGATGAAAGATGTCATGTTAAAAAAAAAAAAAAAAGGCCCGCAAGAAAACAAAACTCACTTGGCTCAAATCAATAAAAAAATATTGACTTCTAAACTAAAATCAATAGCTGTCCTTGAAAAAAATAACATTTGTCCTCCAAAGTTTTTAACTGTTCTGAAATTCTGGTTTTTATCTTCAAACTTACAAAGGCAAATGATTCATACGACAAAGAACCTGCCTGTACAAACATTTTTTTTTAATTCATTCTAAAACTTGTTTAGACAAGTAATGGTTCGAACAGTTTACATAATGATCCGTTCAACAATAGCTAAAAGGAAAATGCGTTTGGATTCTAATCTATATTTTAAGCTTAGAGCACACAAATATGTGAACAATATTAGAGAGCTTTCTATGTTTTATTTTACTACTAACAAATAACATTCTCTTCTTAAAAAATAAGATTTCAAAATTAGCTGTTTTAAGACATTAGTTTAACACTTACTGCCAAGAATATTATAGGAAAAAAATACAAGACAAATATTTTGAACAGAGGCATGCAACATTACAAGGTAATTTTTTTTTACTTTTTGTTTTTTTTTTTAAAAGATTTTATTTATTTATTTATTTATTTGAGAGAGAGAGCGAGAGAGCGAGAGAAACAGCATGAGAGGGGATAGGGTCAGAGGGAGAAGCAGGCTCCCCGCC